CCTTTCAGTAGGCTGTTGATAGAACAGACCTTTCACCGCCTTGCACTGATTTCTGGGCACAGTATAACCTAAGATAAAATTTCTTGAGAGAACCTAGCCGTGCTCCACTCTTACACACCCCACACTCCCCACCCCATTGGGAAAGAAGCTCCATAAGACTATAAGATGTCCTTTGTAAGCCCTACAGATCCTGGTGGCTACAGTTTTCTTTAAGAGGAACATGATGTATTTAGGGGGTAGATAAGGCCAATCCATGCTTGTATGGACCTAAATATGAATCAAGCAAAGTTAAGGAGTTTATTCACAATGTAGAATCTGCACTTTTCCTTTTCTGTAATACATTGTTCAATGTTGCCAGTATTTTAGTGATTATTTTTACAGTTTATCTGTGGAGTATATTGTGTATTCATTTATTTTTCATTGCTAGAACTCACTTGTACTTGACAAATGAGTTGGCAGTAAATGGTAGGGGGAGTTAGCTCCGATTTTGAGTTCATGGTATTGATTTGTTTGGATTCCTTGCTGATTGGACAATGACGATCTTACCTTTTCACAGAGGAGAAGGCCAATTTGGAGAATAAGTTTCTTGGGAAGAATGGGACAGCAGGGCTTTTTCAGGGCAAAACTCCTTTGAGAAAGGCTAATCTTCAGCAAGCTATTATCACACCTTTGAGACCAGGTAAGAAAACACCTTAGAAAAAAGCTCCTTGGCAGAATGGTGGGACAGTGTATTAGGAGCCTGACAATCTGGGAAAATCACTTAAATGCTATATTCCTTGGTTTATTGGTAAAATGGGCTAATATGAATGTAAAACTAACGATCTCTTGGAACTTAAGCTAATAGAGAATTTTATTGCCAAATACATAACTGTTTGCTTTTTATTACAAGATTTAACATAACCCATGTCTGTCTGGGAAACAAAATAGCAGAAGAGAAGAGTGTACTGCTTGCCTTCTTGCTACTGTACATGAATTCTTTGAGTATTGTATCTTATTTTAAAAGATGATTGACATTTAAACTGGTGTCTATATTGCAAAATATTGTCTATTTGATCAGAACATAAGGAGCTTTTTTTGTTTGTTTGTTTGTGACAGAATCTCGCTGTGTTACCCTAGGTATAGTTCAGTGGCATCATCAAAGCTCACTGCAACCTCAAACTCCTGGGCTCAAGTGATTCTCCTGCCTCAGCCTCCTGGGTAGCTGGGACTACAGGCACATGCCTCGATGCCTGGCCAATTTTTCTATTTTTAGTAGAGTTGGGGTCTTGCTCTTGCTCAGGCTGGTCTTGAACTCCTCAGCTCAAGCAATCCTCCTGCTTTGGCCTCCCAGAGTGTTAGGATTACAGGCATGAGCCACAGTGTCTGGCCTTGAGTTGGTTTTTGTACGTAGTGAGGGCTGGGGGTCTATATATGGATATCCAGTTTTATTTTACCTTTTTTTTTTTTTTTTGAGACAGGGTCTCGCTTTGTCATACAGTCTAGAGTGCAGTGGT